GGCCAGCACGGGGCCCTGCCCCTTGGCCCCAGCCACAGCGACAGAGTTCCCTTGCCTGAGGTGCCGCAATGAGCCCCGTGGCTCAGCACCTTCCTGGGCTGCCTGGCCTAGAGGTGCTCGTTCCTACAGTGGCCATGGGCACTTTGGCGGGTTCCTTTGGCTGCCCTGGCAGATCTGAACTGTATTCTGCTGATCTTACTCCCAACCCAAGTGCAACACAGGCAGCATATTCACAAGGGCATGTTCTGATTGTCTTTTCCTGGGAGGAACTGGCCTTTTGAATGTGGTTTCTGCAAAACACCGAGTATGTTTCAATATACAGAAGAAAAGCATTGGGACCATTATGATCTACTGTTTTTTTTTTTTTTTCCTTTCTACCAAGCTTCTCACCACATAGAATAGTGGTGAGCACAGAGATGGTTTTATTCAGGATGACAACACACCCTAGGCACTTCAATGAGTGACAGGTACCTAGTGCTTGTGCTCCATGGCCTGGCCCCTGAAAGCTGCAGGAAAAGCCCGGAATAGGTCGTGCTGGGCAGTTTGATGTTGGGTACAGAAGAGCAGCAAATGGGTTGGTTTGCTGATTCTGGGGCGGGGCACAGGCCAAAAGTGGCAGCTAAGGAATGACCTAGTGGATTCTTCTGGGCTAAGCAAGCGTGAGGGTTTGGGATGCCCTAGTAAAGAAGGGTGTATGCAGAGCCCAGGAGCGGCAGCGCCACAGAAGGGCACCGGGGAGCTCCAGCTGATGGGTTACGTGACTGACTGCCGAGACTGAGACCATATGCACTGTCTGCTCTAATTTACTGTTGAACTTACCGTGCTTACTATGAATGTCAAAAACATAGTGAGCATTTTTCAGCACCTGCCCATCATGCTGCCAGACTCAGCTGCCAGGGCAGTCACTGGAGAGAAGTGGTACTGTGAATGACAGGTGCTCATAGCAGCCTGTATAAATACGGCCTTAAGTGCAAATACAATCTAGAATTAAAATATTTGTGTGTTTTTTTTTCCCTCATTCAAATAATACTTTCCTTATCACCAGCCAAGAAAGGTAAAGAGTGCTTAGATGGCAGCAGAAAAGGGAAACAATCCTCATAAAAGAGTATATCGAGGCAGGTGGGTACATCCTACTAAAGCACTGTTTTCTTGCCAGTGTAACCAGGTATCTAAAGAGACATTGGATTATCAGGTAGTGTTTTATTATACAAGTTATTTATACAGACATATACAGAGGCGCCTTTCTGTTAGAAGGGTGGCCGTATTTACCCTCAGTTACCAGTCATCAGTAGCAGGGTCATTTCCTGCCAAACTGAGGCAACGGAGGTGGAATTTTGATGTCTTGAATTCTTTCCAGTTTCTTCTCACAGTCAACTAGATAATTGACCCCATCCATGACAATCTGAACTAGCTCCACCTGCAACAACAGCAACAGAAATAAAGAAGGTTCAGGTAAGGCTGTTAATAGAGGAAGGAAACAGTGGCATGTGCGGCAAAGACTGCATGTAGAACCAGGTGCAAGGAAGGCCACATCCTTGAGACCGCACGCCCTGTGGCATAGGCACCATGCTCATGCACTGATCCAGTGGGAGGCCACAGTAATTTAAGCTTCACTCAGTTTAGCTTTCAGTTGGGCTGAAAGGGCTTTGAGAAGAACAGATTCTTTTATTCCACAGCTCGCTCACTTCCCCTGCAGATGAGCATCCCCTGCCACGGTAATTTGTCAGCTGCCCTTATGCAGGGAAAAACAGTCCTGCTGGTTCTGACAGGGGTTTTGGAGAGGCTGTTTCATAAAGCCCAGGATCCCCGTTCCTGAAGTAGGATTCATCCTACTTCCTCAGAGTACAGTACCTCCTCGGAGTACAGTCACTTCACAGTGGTCAGCCACCCATAGCACTGATTTTTCTTAATCCTCATGAAATGGTTCATTAGGAACCTTTAATGACTCACTTGTTAAAACTGAATGCAGAAACTAAATCCGTTGTCTCTTTATTGTGATGGGGGGACATCATGATTTTCAGGGGATTAGTTTTTACTATCAAGCAATTCAGTGGCTTAGCAGTTTATTGTGCTTTTATAGACTAGAGGTCTGAATTTGCAGCCTCCAGGAGAAAAGAAATTCCATATTAATTCCACATTGACTAGTAATTGAAACAAAGCAAAAATACTAATGGTTTTATCTCGCACCTTTGGGAACATAATTCATTTCTACAAACATATTTAGCACATAGTGGAATTTCTATTATATATGTCATATAATAAAACATTTCTGTACTCTTGACTTTGTCTTGTCTTATTTAGATTTAGAAATCTTCATAGTAGGGGTTGTATCTTATTGGCTCAGCTCCTCAAATCCTCACTGTATGAGGTACTGCTGACAGTGGAAATCTTCATATAAGCAAAAATTTATAGGTTCAAGCCATCTGTCAGTGGAACTTGTAGTAATTAATCATGTTGTATAATCCTTTTAAATCATTAGTGTTATCTTAGTATAAAGCACACATGGTGGTGTTTCAGTTATTAACAAATGACTTTTGTTGCATACTGTTTTTGCAGATAATACAACTTAACAGGTTTTCACTCCTATATGTTTAAGGCCAGAGTCTAAGAAACTTAGCTACCTACTTGTCAAAATAGGTTCCAAACTCCAGAATTTAATTTCTCCAACCCCTGTCCGAATGCCCCTTGGCTGTGAGAACATTCAAGGGCATGTCCAAATACCAAAGTGCATGCGAGCTGCATGTGCTGTTCCAGAGGCAGAAAGTGCAAGGTGGCTGGATGTGATGGGCATGAGTCTGGCTGCAGCCTCAGCGCGTTACTTCTCTGGGGATCTTCAAACTCGCCTGGATGCAGCCCTGTGCCACGTGCTCTAGGTGTCCCTGCTGGAGCAGGGGGGTTGGACTAGATGATCTCTAGAGGTCCCTTCCAACCTCAGCCATCCTGTGAGTCTGTGATTACGTGTGTGTCTCGGGAACCTGTCACGAGGCAGGCAGAGCTCAGGTGCTGGGTGGCAGCAGCAGCATCGAACTGCAGCAGCGCTGGAGCTGCTGAGGCTGCTCAGCGCTCTGCTCTTGGTGTGGATGCACCTGGGCCCTGTGCTCCGCTTTGCAGTGGAGTTCAACTTGCAGTGAGAGCCCCAAGGTAATTAAAGCTTTGCTGCTAGGCAGGCAGGTGGCCCTGCAAAGCCTCACACATGCAGATGGCATCCGAGACCAAATCCCATTAAAGGAGCCCAGGGGAGCAGAAGTCCTCAGCAGATATTGATCCCACTGGGGTCTGCCTGACGGGCCATAGCGGAGAGCTTAGAGCACCCACATAGCAAGTAAAAGACCTGTTTGACAGAAGATTTGAATCTACATTTCCTAGCTACTAGCAGAGTGCTAGAAGCACTGGGCTTACATAGTCTTGCAAGGTTAACTTTTTTTCTCAGTTTTTCTTGATGCGGCTGCGGGTGAACTTTTCTCCCAGGGAGGAAAGGTTTTTTTCCCCATCCTCCAGTAGATTTACTCGTAGGAGCTCTGCAGCTTTGTAAAAATACTTAAACTGGAAGGAGGTCTGCCAGGCGAGCAGCCTCACCATCAGGTTTTGGGGGCATTTCCACTGTTTCTGGCCCAGAACTTTTGTACTCAAAACGGAAATAGCTTCCAAAGAGGTGACCAAGCCTAACCCACCTCATCTTAGTGTGCAGCTCTGCAGAGCGAGCTCAGAGGTGACACCTCAGGTCCTTGCACCACTGCAAGCACTTCCACTGGGTCAGAGCCACCAGAAGCAAACGCTGCCCTAGCTCTGCTGAAGGCCGTGGTGTGACTATAACCACAGTGACCCCAAACGCAGAGACACTGACTCAAGCAAGTACAGATTTGTGGTTTTTAAAAACAAAAAGAACAGGTTACCTCTGATCGACCCATGCGGTCCAGGTTGGAGATATCATAAACATCCGCCACAGCTGCCGTGTCCACGCCACCAGTGCCGCGTTTCTGCAGCCGCAGGTTCTCCAGGATTTTGGGAAACCTGGGATCCTGACAGGAGGAACAGTTTTGTGCTTAGTGCTTGTTGCCCTACTTATTGTGCTGCATCCTTGTATTGCTATTACTCGTGACTTCAGAGAATCCCCCAAAAGAGAGGCAGAGATGGATGGTCTGTGTTTGGATTACAGCCTGCCTTGGTGGCTGCCTGCTGAGCAGAGTAATTTCCTTTACAACTACAATAATTTGCAGAACAAAAGTATGTTCCATTAGTCATGCATTATCCCTGGGACCTTGCTGTTACACATCCTGCCAAGGTGCGATCACTGCGAGCTGTCATTTTTCATTTATTCCCTTATAAATCAGAGGAAGGGCTGACTTATGTCACTTGCCTTTTAAAAATGACTTATGTACCTCGCTAAGCCTTGGCAGCTTAACATGCACTCCGGTGCGTAAACCTGTTCCCAGGTTGGAAGGACAAGTCAGAACAGAGCCAAGAAAGACGTTCGTTCCACATGAACTCCCAGCCTCGCTCTTTAATTAATCTTTCAACCTGTGAAGGTAAAAAAAAAAAAAAAAAAACCCCTCTGACGTTTGTTTATAGGTGAAATTCTTTCCACCTTGTATTTATGTTCGTGATGAACGTCACTAATAGCAAAGGAGGTGCATTAATATAAGCCTGAGCAGAGTCTGGCTTGGATTTGATGCAAATCTTTGTGCTTACCAGGCACCAAGGTCCCCCAGGAATATTACAAGTACCTCTCCTTGTTTGCTCGCTACCACTGGCCTCTTTGGCACTTTGTCACAAGCCTCCCTGTCATGATGGTTTTGTATTGCCCTAGTCCAAGGAGCCGTATTTTTACATAAGAATTACTTATCTAGACTATAAATTAGTTTCCAGCCTTGGCGTGTGGGGAGTGATGTTGCAAAGCACAAGCCGCAAACGCTACGGAGCAAACGCAAGGCGCTGAAGTGCACTTTCCTATAATTTTCGTGATTTCTAAATGCCTAAATTTAACAGCCCTGCTTCCAATGTAAGATGACCTATATAATGGTTTTCATTAGTACATCTCCAGTCCAATCAGCAAGGGAGACTGAAATTATTATCTGCAGGAACATCATAAAGATCAGTTGACCTCTGAATAGGCCCCTATTCCATCCACTCAGCGGCACATTCCAGCCTGACTTCTGTGATCCCGCTACTGACTCCATTCAGTAAAGTCACTGCCAGAAGAAAACCAGATACTTATCCAGATACTCAGGAATGCTGCAATTTAGGAAATACTTCTATTTTGCAGAAAGATACAAAATAAAGGGCAGTTTTAACATCATTCACATAGTCTGCAAGGACACCAGAATTAATGGTGAGAAACTGGATCTGCCTTCCTGCCTCGAGGCATCTGTTTTGGACAATTCCCAGGGCTCCCTGACCGCTTCTCACAGCAAGGTCTGTGGATCTTCTTTTGCTGGACATGAGCTAACCCCAGCAGCAGAGGCAAACCTGGGGAAACATCTGCGAGCCCTGTCATTCAGGCTGCAAACCCATGCACTGCTCAGTGTCATGGACATTCCTGAGAAGCATAAGAGATGTCAGGAACCACCCGGTGCCAAAGAAGCAACCATTAGGTGCCTTTGTATTTCCATGCTCCAAAACCCACTACCTGCTCAAACTTCCTAAGGAAGGTTCCAAATTTACCTTCTTCTGGTTCTTAGGGAGCAGCACATCCACACTCAGAGATGGTGGTTCCTGCTCCGTCCACTTGGTCTCCTTCTAGGAGCCTTTTTTCCTTTACGAATAGCGGTAGCAGAGTATAATCCAGGAGTCCTACCTCTCAGTCCTTAGTATTTCAATCACAAAACCCAGTATCCGCCCAAAGTAGCCAGAGAGGCCATCCTACCTCCTGAGTCCTGGTACACCCTCAGTGACATCCACTCCGCTCCCAGAATTGGGGATTACAACCAACAGGCTAGGCTTCCAAAATAAAATGCTTTACTTATGAATTTCCACAGCCTGCAGACACAAGGTGGCAAGGAAGGGATATTTCTTTAGCCAGCCAGTGCTGAAGATAGCAACAGAAAAGCTACAGAGACATTTTATCTATTTTTTTCCTACAGTTCTGCTAACGATTTGCCCTTGTTTCCTCCTGTAATTGCATGGGTTTAACATGGGTTGGTGTTTGGACTGGTGTTACTTGATTTTGCTGCTCTTGGAGATGTCAGTTCAGGGCTAACCAGAGTGAGCTGTGGTGACAAGAGTCCAGTGATAAACAAAACAGGAATAAAAACATCATCGATTTAGTACCTCTTTTAAACCATGGCAAAATCTTTCAAACACCCGCTTCATGTTGCCCCCCTTTTCCATGGATATCACTCTGGTGTGGTCCTCTTCATTAATCCAGATAAGAAATGTCTTGTTGTTGTTGTGCCTGGTTGAGAGAAAAACATGTGGCTTTAAAGCACAAGATAAGCCCTGAAAAATAATTCTCAGTATCATTAGTTTTATCACAGCCTTTCAGGACTGTGAAGACATTAAGCACTACCAAATAACGCTGCTCTGTGGTGTTAGGGATAAGAGTGGTTTGATCCCCCATGCCATGGAAATTATGCAAGTTTTTCAGGGCACAGCGATGAGAGGAGTTTGCTCTGATCACATCATGCTGCCCTGGTCCTGAGCTGGGAGGGACACGGTGCCTCCTGACCCGGACACACTGCCGGCAAGAGGCAAGTTTGGCATCTTTTTTCTAAGAAAATTGAGCATCTAGAAGAAAATCTCCCGATTACATATTGCTGGGGACTTGGCAATCTCCTAATAGCATTCTCTTCTGAATCACTTTATATCTCTGGGGAACACTGCATTGCCACCTCCAGTCAAATCACGCGTTTCAGGAAAACAGCTACATGTTGCTTCTGGACAGCAAAGATGTTGCTTTGTCAATCAAGATAAAAATGCCTGGAGAGAAGCTAGCCCCTCTTGCTTCAAACAGATCAGCCAAGACTTGGTTTATGAAGCGCTCGGTCAGACATGAGGTCACTTTTCCTCACTTTTCTCCATTTTTCTTGTCTTTTACGGCAGTCTTTCTATAGAATGTAGAAAACGATTGATAAGAATAGACTTGTTCATACACACAGCAGAATATTATCAACCTAAAAACACATAAAACCCAAGAGTTAAAGTTCACCTGACTTCCAGCTTGTCTTTTATTGCGACTCCCTTTTCACAGTTGGAGTTTGTGGGTGCAAAGCTGAACAGTCGTCATAGCATACAGCCTGACAGCAGTGACAGGGAGGTCCAGCTACCTCATTTTCAGTCACGTACAAATATTCAGGGTAGGATTTTCCAAAGAGATTGATGTTGGCCTGACCCAGCACCCCCAATGAACTATTAAAGACGTCTACATGAGTACATAGAAGTAGTGCCCTCTCTTCCTATGAAGCAGGTGGTGATGGTTCTGCAGAGTTTAACAGGGGCACAAGTAAAACAAGCCAAAGACAGATCTATTTTATTCAGTTCACTTGATAGCATTTACATTGCTGGCACTTTCTCTGTTTGACTGGAGAGTCAATGAATGGGATTCCTCAGATTGATCTTTTTTTTCCAGATTCTTTCTCAGATTAAAACAGGCACCATGGAGCTAACCTGAAGCTCACTGAAATAAAAAGTCCTCACATTTCCTTCTGATTAGGTTCCCCAGTGCCTGTTCACTGCTGGGTTTAGCTCATCACAGCAATGCTGCTGCTGAATGCACTTCTTGAATACCAGATTTTTTTCCACATAAAGACGCATTCTGTCTGGCAGCCCTGAACCCACATAGGGCTGGAGGATTTCTCATAATCCTTATTCACCTAGTTTTCCAGAGTTATAGCATCTGGAAATGCTGGGAAATAGGCCAGGATGGATGCAGGCACTGCTCACTGCACGGCTGCCTCCACCAAGCGATGTGTGCGCTGTTTATTCAGAAGTTTATTCCAAAAGAAAGGATTCCTTGCAATTCAGGTACCTGTGTAGTATCCTGCAACTGTATTGCCAATGATCCCTAGCTAACAGCATTGCCACAATCCAGCTTTAGACTGGACTTCTAGCCTCTGCTCTGCTGATTTCATGGTGGTCACTGGCTCTTTCTCAAAATCTAATTTTTATCTAGAAATTGAAAGAATCAGGACAGAGTGACTGCAGGGTTAGGGCAAGCAAGGAGACTTGTAATACAATCTTTTAAGCATGACACAAACGTCTACAGGTCACACAACATACCAGATTCCTCTGGCATCTGGCCAGTCACGTGCCATCCCTGCACATGTTAGCAAAGGGGACACTGGCTTATCAAAGAGAAAGTGATCCTAGACACCAAAAGGAGCCAGAGAGAGAGAGAGAGAGAAAGGGGAAACAAAACAAAATTCATGTTTATTCAGGGAGCAATACAGCACTTACTTACACACTTATTGGGAAGGCCATTGATACACAAGTGAACTGCACAGGACACATTGTGAGTGTGGTTCCTTCTCGACTAAAAACTGAAAGCACTTTACTCAGGGCATTTTCTTAGAGGGGGAATTCCACACCCACCACATATATGCAACAAGGGGGACTCTGGAGATACAGGGCACTATAACCACAGCTATGTATCTGCACACAGATAGATTAATTGCAAGGAAGGAGAAAGCAACGAGTCTTTAAAGATAGCAAAATACCCAATTTCTCCAGTATAGAGATTTAGCAATTTATTTTGTGTAAGAAATCATAGTAGGAATTAAAACAATGCTTGACATTTTGAAATCACAGACTTGTTCATTTCTTCCTTAGAAATTTTATTTCTGATTTATCAAACATAGCATTTGGTGTGCTAGACACTTGCCACGTGTCAAATAATTATTTTTTTAACTAACTGAATTGTTTGTTTCTCCAAGCAAATAAGCATTTTATTTTCATGTGTGTGCTGAAAAATTATTAGTTCTTAAATCCTCAAATACAGTCATATCAAATATTGTTCTTTTTGGTTTGTTTTTTGTTTCCCTTTCCTAGGGTTTAATTGAAAGTTGGGAGGCAAGCTATGCAATATAAATATGGCATGGTAGAGAAGTTGATAAGCTTTACCTTTTTTTTTCTCAATGGAAGATTTTAGCCCTTCATCTTCAAATGGCCTGTGATGGGCATGATGCAGCCAGAACACCAACCATACAGAACACAAGCTATAGAGTTCTCTCTGCTCATCACAGGATCACAGTATGTGCTGCCTCAGTTTGCTCCACTGTACATTTATGAGTGAGAGAAAAATATCTCCTTGCACATGCAATCAGTTGAACACTAGCTTTCCTTGTAAGCCTATGACTTAAATCCACAAAGTACTGATAGGCTCCCATGTTGAATGACTCCTTGGTTGGATGCCATTCAGGTCTCACTGATTTGATCTCACCATGATCAAATGGTGCTTATTATAACTTGGCAGAAAGCCTGACACCTTCGAGACTCAAGATCCTAAAATACTGAAGGAAGGAAGCAATGGTATGAGATAAAGGTGGAATATGAGCTTACAACATTCAATGCCCTGACATTTATAAATTTGCATTATTGTGAAAGCAAATAAATAAGACAAGATAAAATGCTGAATCAATGAAGCCTGTTTCACTTCCTAAAGAATTTAACCTGTAAATCATGAAGGAATTATATTTTTGGCAATCCTATTTTGATCTGTGCTCCTTGAACAACTCTCTACTGCTGAAAAAAAGGCAATGAAAAAAAACCTAGAACAGGTAACCAATGTCTTGTCAATAAACTTATTACTAAAGACATTCAATGAAAATGTTACTGACCTTATATAAATTCATAACTACTGGCTAATTCAGGCTGTGACACCTAGATGAAGGGTTATAAATAGTCATGTTACTTCATCAGTTTCCTTTTTGGTTGATGTTATGGATTAACGTGCCGTGAATACAGGTAACAGGGTACAGCCATTCCTCTGGATAATTAAAGTGCATATTCAGGGTTTGATTTTTCTTAAACAATCTTCTAGATTTTTGTAATTTTTAAAGTCTCAATATGAATCCCTGTTATGGATTTTCAAGATAGTTGACCGTTGTCCATTTTTACCAGGAAAGCACTTGGAAACTTTGACATCTCAAACATCTCTCTGTATGAACTGAACAATGAGATGCTCTGACAAAATCAATTATGTTTCCTTGTGTTTCCATCTGTGTGACAATGAAAACTATAGTTACAGGCCTGATCCTGCAAGTCCTTCAGCACCAGTTACAGGACTGGTAAAAGGTGACCTGGTTGCAGTTTGCTACAATCACATTGGAGAATTAGAATTAGCATAGTTGTGACTTAAAAGACATTATAGCCCTCCCGCAAAAAGAAACAAACAAACAAACAAACAAACTATCACTTGAACAGCTTAGAAGACAGTTAACAGATAATATTTATCTTAGTGTAATATTAGTTTAAATGGCTATTCTTATGGAAAATGAGAATCTCTACTCAAGGAAATAATTTAGAGAGTCCTGAATTTACTTTATTATTTGGCCAAAGAGGAGGCACCAGCTATATATATGTATTTGATTCGACACAAATCTTCCTACCTGAATACAGCATCACATTTTGGACCTGCAAAGTATGTGCTTAGTCAAAGTATTATCCATGGACAATTTATCACTGTAATAAAAATACCGGCAGGCCATTGACTATTGGGTTAACGCTGTAATTATCTTTCTTAGCTACACAGAAAAGCGTGTGCAGCAAATAAAGACAAAGATAAAAATAAATGAGTCAGTGAAGATGGTGTCAGTATTGGAGCTATACTTACATCAATAAGCTGCTGTTGCTCCTTCTCAGTCATAGTGGTCAAGCCATAGTACTTTTCAGAGAGGTCTCCTTTGAGCTCAGCCAGAGCAGTGACCACCATGTTCTCCACTTCTCTCCTCTCCGCCCTGCTGCAGGCTGGAGGAAGGCTGAGGCCCCAGATGCTGCGACCAGTACGTATGCATGACGAGAGGACGTAGCGCTCGTCAAACTGGCCCTGGGTGATCTGAAGGAGAAATGTTTCCATTTCACACACAGTGCCCCATTATGTACCTCATGTTTAAAAAGTTTATCAATCACACACAAAGAAGGGTATCTATCTTTCTCGACAGAGATCATGACCTCTCGTAGATATCACAAAAAGAGTACTAAGAACACCTCAGAGTTTCAGATACAGAGTTTTTTAGGAACTCCAAGGTTACTGCACAGACTCAATGTGGTGAAGTGACCAGCTGATCCTTCTTAGCTCCAACTTGGAAGATGAAAGAATCTGAGCAGCTTTGGAAATCTGGATAAGGACAGAGGCAGAAGGCCAAAATTGGAAGAGCTTTTGAAAGAAGAAAGACTAAGCTGATGCTAAACTACACTGTAGCTGAACTATGAAGGCAATCGACTTTTGCATGAAGTCAGGGTGGATCGGAGTACTTTCACTAAAAGGCCATGTAGATGCAAGGTTGGTTTGCCCTTCATTGGATGCTGAAAACCTTGGCAACATAGCAAACCTAAACTGTAATCTAACATCCTTGCAAAAAGAAAGAACAGGTGTCATTTTGTTAAGACATATTCTCTGTAGGATATGACATTTTAGTCATTGTGGCATCCTGATTTCTTCAGCCCTAAAATTGTTTCCTTTGGAGTTTTATTGGGGAGAAAAAGTACAATTACAGACAATATCACTATTGTAAGAAGCAGCACTGTACATTTATTTTCATGTTATTTTATTTAAATCCTACCTTGGATGCATCCAGGTCTGTATGATGCTTCATTGTGTGTGGGTCATAGCCATTATGTCTTGCTTTAATGACAGGGTCAAAAATCTCAGCAAATACCTAGGGAGTCAAGAGAATCTAGAAAGAGTCTGCAATATTATAGAATATACACACTTTCATGTGCCAGCTTCAGCTACAGGAGAAACTCCTTGGCACTGATTCCTGGATGACCACCATAAAGGGGGCTTTGCCAATGCTGACGGAAAGGAATATTTATGATAATGTTCAGAGTCTTGGGCAGTCGTTCTCTAGAAACTGGCTAGGGATAAGGAATTCATTCAGTAGTGGTTCCTCCTCCTCACAACAAAAAAGAAGGTGCAGCTACACCTTAATTTAGTTACAAGCTTACTCCAGTTATGCCATGCACTGGATGTGGTAGCAACCAGATTAGATTTCAGGATGCATTCACAACCAGGATACACATTCAGAGTCACCAGGCAGCTTGTGCCCTGGTTTTGGGTCATGTGAGAGTACCTATGTCTTCTCTGCCCTTGGGTACTGGTGCTAGAGCTGTGCAGCACTGGTATGTCAGTACCGACCGCAGTCACCATCGCTGCTGTATAGCAATAGCTGTGGCAGAGCTTTTCAAAGCAGTTACCATTTCTAAATTAGCAAACTAAATCAGGTTTGCATAGGGCTGCATAGTTTTGCTACCAACTAGGAGGAAGGCAGGCAGCTGCTGGCAGCAGCTGGAGTATTGCTCCCGAGCAGCCACGTTTTATTAACTTTGCAGCAGAGAGGGCACTTTTAGTGGTACCTCATGTTCACTCTATTTTCTACTGTAGAAGAACATTCAAATCCTCATAAAGAGGAAACACTACCTTTATGCACTTGACCTGCCCATAATAAATCTCTGGGATACAATTTATTTTAGGAATGTATATCTTACTGAGAACCTGCATTCATCTGACATCTGGCAAACATCTTACCTCATAAGATTCTTCCTCACCTGCAACCATGCCCACAGTCTTAATGAAAGGGTGGCCGGGATTATCGACCCCAGTTTGGATACACTGGTCCAGGGTGTAGCCGTTGGGAGTCGTCTTGTCCCTTAGTCTAGCATAAATTGCTGGCGTGAGGCACTCCGCCATGCAGTTGTTATGCTTGCGGAGATCAGGATAGTCTGCACTGAAGAGGAAAAAAATCACAAGCCCTTAACATCGTATCTTTAAACAGTATTCCTTGCTAATTTGCAGACCTATCAAAGTGATCAGGATGCAGAGTACGTCAATTGGATTAAAGGTGTAATTAGTTCCTGGTTTATACATTGCATTGAAATTTAGAAAGGGAGAAACACTCAAATCACTCCATACTGCACTAATGGGCAGCTATACTAACGAAAGACAAGAGCAGCCTTCTGTTACCTGAGGCAACCAGGAAAATGAATCCTGAAGGGGTTTCAAAGTGTATATCAAGCCCCATTAAACCTCTACTGAGACATTCTTATTTGGAATTAAAAGTCCTTTAACTTTGTTCTGTTCACTGTCTGATTGCTATTAGCTGGGAATCTAACTCTTCAACAATATTTGGGGGTGTTTCAATGGTTTTATTATGTACAGAGAGCTGCACGTAACCAGGGGAAGTGAAGAAGTTATGCTCTAGTAAGGTATTTTTGCAAGTGAGTCAGATCACATTTACCTTTTTGGTAATATTTTGCTTTAGGCACTACCCTATTATTTCTGTAAGAATTTATTTTAACTAAGATACTACTTAAAATAAATAAATAATGTCTTTCAGGGCCTGGTCCACATTGTTTCTCGATCCACATGGTTTCTCACAAATATGGTCAGCAAAGTCAATCTACACATGAGAAGGTCTGTATTTAGTTCCTAATCATCAACCAACCAGTCTGCAATAGAATTAGGTATATTTCAAGTACAGGAGTTATATAAGAGACTTCTTTAAACCTTGCATAATGAAAACACTTCCATAGTTCCTAACAGTAAAATCTATACAATCAGCCAGTCTGATAGGTGCTGCAAAGCATTCAAGAGTTGATGAGGTAAAATAAGGGCTAATTTGATGTTTTGTCTAAAATGTGAAACATTTTTTAGGCTTGTCATTATTTGGCAGTGTTTCAGCGAGAGCATTGACATTATCCCACAACCCTACACTCTGGTCTCAAAGGCCGTTGTTGTTGCTATCTAAAATTGCTTTTCAATAAATGGTGCTGTTTTTCAGGTCGTGGAGCAACAGCCCAAAACCATACCCACAGCTGGCATGTTTGCGTGAAGGAGCAGGTACTCGGCAGCTTTAACAGAAACCTGCCCTGCCCCAAGGAGTTAAACATCCTGTCTCACTCAGCTAACCAGCCCTACGCGCCACCAACTAAGCTCCCCAAGTGCTCACCTTGGAGGGAAGAGTTTTCGTTTTTCGTGTACGGCAGCTTTAACATTTTGCTGGTCGAGGAGGTAGCCAGTGGTTAGGGCCCCTGTGCCAGCAGCCGCAAAGAGCACGGCAGCTCCACGGCCAGCCAGGAGACGACCGAAGACGCTAGCCATTCCTCTTGGAGGATACAAGGGCTGCAAGAGAAGACAACCTGCTGTCAACCCAAACTCACCTCTAACTTGTCCAATAAAAGAAACAACTCATTCTTATTGTTGGTTTGCACAGAAAATGTTTTGGAAAAATAAAAAAATCAATTACCACTGGTAATGGCGAAAATCAAGGGATTCGTAGTGCTGTATTAAGCACATAATTTCTAACACAGCAAGCAGAATATTTTAATACTTTTGAAGATTTAGGGCCATAATTAGCATGCTAATCGTGCTAATAAAACATCCTTTAGCTTTAGCTTGCTTCATAGCAACCATATATTACACAGAGACATCTTTTCAGCGACCAAAATGGTACAAACCCAGGGTAAAAAAAAATAAAGGCAGACAAAAATATTCAAAATGATCAGGGTTTTTTTGGGTAATAGGAAGGGAGACTGAAATCTTGTGGTGGTTTGAGTCTGATTAAAGTATTTTACAATATAATCAATTAGACAACAGTGACTATAGGCTACCAGGTTTTGTGGCAAGGGGTGGGCTAAGGCAACCTGCAGAGTCTTAAGTTTTAGGCAAATATTTTTATTGAAAATGCTTCCAGGTTATTCGGGTGTAAGTGGCTGTCCAGTCAGAAGAGTCATATGTGTCTGGAAGTAACATTAGTAGCTCATTCTCTTCAGTGCTATCAACCTTTTCCATGCAAGTCTGACATGTTAAGCACTGTGTCCTTTTCTTGCATGAATAAAAATGGTTTAGAATTCATGAGCATGAAAAAGATAAAAAAAACTCATTTGCATTTATATCATACATGCTTCACAAAGAAACTGTAAAATAAGAATGAATATAATGAATATAATACCAAATTTTGAGGCCTTGCTGCAATTCAAAAGTGGTCTTGGTGTGAGGAGCAGGCTTGGGCAGAGAAGGGAAATCTCTGTTAAAGGTGAATGTGTGTCAAGGTCTGTTGCATGATGGTGTTCTTGGAAAATGCTTGTGGTGTGGATTTTCAGAGAGCTGGGGAAGAAAAGTGCTAAGTGTTTGGAGAGAGGAAGTCCTTCTGGGCAACGCTGCTTGGGAAGAATGTACCAGGCTCTTTCCAGATTTGTGATGTGGAAGCATCTTTTGCATGTGTTGGTCAATAAGTAATTCTTTTGTACTCCTGAGTCATATAATAACATGGTAACAGTCTCTTTGGGAATCTGAAAAGATTCCTGGACAGTGGCCCACTGTTCAGGAGAGAGTCAGTAACACCAACAAGATTCAAATACCGCCTAGGAATTTATATGTGTTATTAATTACTCCTCACAGCATGTTTGAGTGCAGCTATGGTTCTGCATGATGTCCGGAGCACAGGGGATGTCTTCTAAGCCAGACAGAGAAAATAGCATGTTCTCTGAAAGCCTGAAGGACAGAATGCATATTTTTTTCTCCTCCAGAATCAGAATTTGACTTGTTTTGCTCATGACCCAATGAGCAAAGAAAGATACATGTCTCTTCTAAATAAACGACACAAATTCCAATTTGTGTCACTGGAGCAAGATTATTCTTAACACTTGCATCTGACAAATCAGATTTGGAAAATGGTGATGGAAGAGTTACAAGAAAACATGAATCTTCCCCAAAGGTATGTTGCCTTGGTTGTTTCTTCATGTTTCTTTGTGTAATCTCTTCATCATTCTTTCAAAGTTTAAACAAAACACCTCAAAGTTCTTGATTTTCCTTTTGGTGAACAAAGTGTTCTAATTTCCAGCAATTCCCATGAAGATCTGGGTAGGTCAGGCCAATGTGCAGTCACTCTTTGCCCTTTCCCCTCCTGACAAAGAGCTGCAATGTTGCAGCTATGTCTTTTCACTAGGTAAACAGGTCTTCTGATTTGCTTGCGTGATCCTCTGTTGCAAAGCTGTGGCTTTGATCACACAAGCCTTTCACAGGAGACGTGACATGAGAGTTACATGAGCTGCATTTCAATTTTGAGAGTCTTTGTTTCATATCCTCTATCTTGTTTACATAATTTTATACCTGAATTTTGTTATCCAACATAGCTATTTGGCAGAGGGATATTTAAAATTAAAAAATGTCTTCTCCATGCCCTCAACACAAAATACACATTTATCCAACTTTTCTTCCAGAGAAAGATGATGACTGATTGAACGAAGATTCATATTCTTTCACTTAAAGAATTTCCAGAAAAGAGAAAAGGGGAAGAGATCACAAAGGGAGGACATTTTTCCCCCCATTAGGAATAGATTGTGACTTCCTCAACTATGCTAAGTCCTTCAGAATTAATTGCACAGCACTAGAATGAGATATATACTCAATTAATTAGTTTAGGTAAGACAGAGTTACAAGGATGACTCTCAGAATGATATTTTCCCTCCCCAAAACACAATGGGAGAATATTTGATTTGAAATCAATATCATGTATCCATTTGTGATAGACTTTCATACTCCTGTCGTTTCTCCTCATTTAACAAATGGTCCTTCTGTCTTTCTGCATTACAGCATCTCCGTCCTACACTCTGGAAATATTTGCTCCTGACTAATCTGTGGAGCACTCTTATTGCTATACCTATGTGTCTCTGAAACAATGGATGTATTTTCTTAACAGCTCTATGTATTTATAGATCTGTTTCACAGATGCCATCTTTACTGCAGAGATTTTGGCTGACAATTCAAAATCCTGTCCTGGAAACTGAAGCCTCATCAAAATTCCCTTGCAGATGATGCCATTATGACTTGAACTACCCCAGGTACTCACCACAGTCTCCACCAGCCTGGATTCTTGGTAGCCTCTGGATCCTGTGTTACTTTCAGGGACAAATCTGGTCCATGTATCTGATTAAACTAGAGGAATGATGTGTAATACATCTTTAGGGAGCCATGTGAGGCACCACAGTGTAATTATTATGCTTCAAAAATAATGAGAGCATTGTACATTTTGACTGCAGAATGTACTATGCCATAACAGGTAATGTACAGCCTTAGACAGGACATTATAGCTAGCTGTATTTAGCTATTTCACATGATACCTGCTTGCAAGGATATTGTGTAGATAGCTGCTTTCACATAACCTCCATTCCTTATATTACTGACATGTGATACAAAAGTCCTGTGCTACCCAGCGGCTTGATTGCCCGACTGCATATTTTTCTCCCTTGGAGTCTTTTCTAGTGATCAAGTATGCACCAGAAGCAGAGGGAATATTCCGACAGGAAAGTCAGTATCCTTACCAGTATGGTGTTGTGATCTGAGACTGCAAGTGAATCACAGGCTGTTCCTGGCTATGTCCTTGGGATTAATCTATTCTTGAGGAGCTGAGCACTGCGCAGGAGCTCAGTGAGTGTGAGGTATGCCAGAAGCTGCTCTCTAATATCACTGTGGGACAAAGTGTCCTCACTGAAATTGTTAAAAGCTAAAGGCACTTCAGCTGCTGATTCAGTTCTGTGGTTCTTGTGTTCTTTACTTTGCTCTGAGAGCAGCAGAGCAGAGCAAAACCTTCCACTGAATTTGTTGTGCAAACGACACCCGATGCAGATACGGTAGTCATAGAAATCACAGTCTGTGAGCAGAAAGAAAAATAAATCAACTAGAAAAAATAAAACTAGCTTAAAATACAGACAACCTCGTAACTCAAGTGATGGAGGCTTGGGCCATAGCTCATCTAGGAAATAAAGAGAAATTGTACTACTTGAACCTTACCCCTTCTGCAGAAAGCATATAAGGACTCCCTCCTCAATCTTCGTTATGCTTATGTTTAATTAGATGTCCAATGCAAAGCTTTAACATTGACACAGACCCTCTCAGTAGTGACATTTTTTTTGTCACCATCTCTCTCCTTAGGCAGGCAGCAGCAGCGGCAATTTTCTCATCTGTTGTTTCAATAAGCAGGTCTGTAATTTTGGTAACAGCATTTTGGAGACCTATTCAAAGGCAGATTTTATGCCATGGAAATGTTTTCCTATTTTAATTTTTTTTTTTTTTTAAAAGTCCCATAACTCAAGTATATTTCTTGTTGATAGGCTTTTTTTTTAAAACTAATGCCTAACTAAAACTCATTTGCTACAATTTAAACCCAACACTTCTCATTCTATAATTTCTTTCACCGAACTTCAAAATTCTAAGAGCAGAAATTTATTTTCTCTTTACTAATATGTGCATCAGCTTTGTAAACTGAATCACTCCTACAAAAAAGGTAACTCTGCTAAGTGGTGGCTCTGCTACGTGACAAACAGATGCCTACAGGAACTGGAAGATGACAATGGGCCCCAGCTTTTGCTCCTTAGGTAGAGACCATCAGTTATTGCTGGCAAATGCAGAGGGTTTAGGGGGAACTTGGCAGTTAAACATTTTATGCAAAGGAAAAAATCACAAAGGGATTTTCTGTCAAAATGGTGTTAACTCCTAGTTTAATAAATACCTCTTGCCACAAAAGTGGCCTATAGATCTGAACATAAATGTACATAATAATGCAGCACAAACTGAGTCTATGCTATGCTATGCGGATGTATGATATCCACATACAACCAAAACAGCATAGACCTGCACAAAACTCTTAAGCTTTTAGTTCAGCAACCAAAACAAAACAAAACAAAAAAAATAATTTGGGTTAGTAATAAACAAGGCTTATTTTTCTGACAGGAAAAAAAAATCAATCATCTTCATTTTTTTTCTCCTCTAAAAATCAATTTTTAAAGAAAGTATGGCTTCAAAACAAAAATTCTAAAAGACTCATTCTGAAAGTGTCTCAAGGGAATGGGCTCATCCTAAAAGAATCTAATCAAAGCTATCTGTCAAATCTGACCTTAAATAATGAAGAGATGCTAGTTTTTTTTTTTATTATTTTCCCCATAGCAAATGTCAAACTGTGCTAACAATCAATTTGCACCATCACCACCACTGTGGATTTGGAGAATGAGAATTATTCCAGGCAAAGGCCTAATCAAAGTGCACAAGGCTTTTTAAGAACATCTTATCAGAAACACCAGGAGGTCATTCTGCAGCCTATTTCTCTGCAGACTATCACTAGGCATCCACTGTAAGGATTTCACTTCCATCCATAAACATTTACCACTCTGTGGCCTTAAAAATAAATACATTATTTATTTCCTACAGGAGTTTACTAAGGGTTTTCCCAAGTACTTATGATGATAGAAAATCTGCTATCAGGACAGCTAGAAAGGATGAAGAATAGATTGTCAAGGTGAGAAGAACTTTTATGACTCTCAGTTTTAACTCTCTGAAGCAGAATCCAGAGGTTTCCTAAACTGATCAACTGTGTTGAAAGGAAAGCATCTCCATTAAAAAAAAAACATCCAGAGCCTGATCCGGAGCAGCCATTGGAGTTCCAGAGATTAACTGACCCCTGATCTAAAAACTAATGTATGCATTTGTTTCTCTTCAACTTTGAATCACTGGTGTTTGTTAAAACTTTATAAGTTTATTGTAGAAATTTCTACTATCTATCCCGTATCTGGTTATTTAATGACTAGCTCTTTTTCTTCTTTTCTTCTACCACTTTTTTTTTTTAACCATACTTTCAAATTTATACACCACTCTCATTCTGCCCTGAGCTCTCTCCATTTTGTTTTCATCCCCAAGATCCTTCCGATTCCAGAATGATGATTCAATTCCATTAATGCTTGTGCCAGGTCCTCAAAATAGAAGCTGCAGAACATCTGTACATCAACTAAACAGTCTATGGAACCAAGTATCTTATTAGCCCTTCGGGGCCACAGCAGTCACTGGAAGTTCATGCTCTGTTAATGGTGGGTGACGCTTGGCCCCTTCTGAACAGGACTATTGCCCCGAATCCTCTGAATGGCAAATACGGAGTGATACCTGCAGTCCTCTGCTCTAAAGTATCATTTGGGAAAGCTTTCTGATCAGAGAAGCATGAGAACTGTTTCTAAGACAGACATGAGTACACGTCCAGAGACCATTACGTGATATGGCTATCTATCTGTAACAGCAGCGTCCTCATTAGTCACTACCAGTGCAATCAATTTTTTATTGCTACTTTCACTTTCCCTTTAAACTGCAGTGCTTCCTAATAGCCAGAAACTTTTTCCTCAGTTGTGAAATTTAGGATATACTAATAAAATATTTCTATTTAAAAATTGTTTCTCTAACTGTTTTATAATTACATCAATCTTTGAAATGACCCCTTTCAATGCAGTACAGGCTACATACACATTTTGACTTCACTTTGGTTACATGTAAGCCAGAATCAGTTGCATGTAAACCAGCACTGATTTTTAGTTCCGTGAACACCTCTGTTTTAGTTGCCCAAATGAAATCTAATTTCCAAGGTATCAGACATGACATTTTTTTGAAGTATGAAGTTTTAAGATTCATAGCATGAGACCTTAAGCATATATATCACTCAGGTGATACTTAATCGTAACACAGCTGTTTTTCCAACCATTTCCAAACTATTATGGATAGGTGCTTCAAAAGCGAAACAGCTGCTTCTTTAGTAATTTGATGACATCAGGATTTTAGCTACTAAGACATTTTTCACATGGTTTTATTTGAAATATTTGGGGAAATGATGCACCTAGGAGAGTGCACCTACCCCTACTGCCCGTGGGGTCACTGCTGAGGATGACTCACAGGGCGAGGGCTGGCACAGGTTGCTGCCCATCATGTGGGGCCCTATTGAAGCCCTTAATGTTCTGCTTCTCCTCCCCAGTGCCAGGGCTCACTGGCCCCAACACTGGGCAGTTGCGCTCTGCTGTCAGCCAGCACCTGTGCTCTGGCCAGCTGTCTACCCCTTGCCCTTGAAGACAGTCTTGGGTACAGACTTAGCAGTGTCCCCAGTGGGGCAGCCAGTAACTGCTGAAGGTGTAGACACACGTAATATCTGCTGGTATCCACATGTGGTTTTCCTGTGGGAAAGAGCGGGGGGAGCTTTTCTCCTGTTAGCTAACTGTGCTGTAAGACATCTTGATGACTCTTGGGATCTGAATCTAACTCAGAGCTTTACTAAATGCTTCCACAACTAGTATTACACGTTTCCCTTTTTATATCATTCTGCTCATCTTTGGGATACTTCCTTTGCCTCATGATAACTAGTTAGAATATCTTTTGTATCCCTCCAGGACTGCCCATGCCTTTGGCCCAAGGGCAGAGCCTGGAGAACAGCTCAACAGTTCTGAGACCGTAATTTGCCGTAATTTGTAACTGGCAGGGAGTCCTTAAAAATTTTATTTGCAAGGTCATTTGCACCTGACCTGTCATTTGAAGAAAGCAAAAATACTGTTAGGCACAAAAAAAGAAATACAGACAATTGGCTCAGCCACAGTAGGAGAGTAACATGCAACAGGTTCACTCCTGCAGCGAATGGTTTTGATTAATTCCTTAAAAACCATCTTGTGGATCAAGTTAATAGGGAGTGGCCACTTCATGTGTGAAATGCTTCAATGTGAGGGGAATAAATGCAACATTGATGTAAAGCAGCAGTCATTAGGTCTCTCAGAATACAGCATTGAGTGCCTGTAAAAACAAGGTTTCTTCATAGCTGAACGTGGTTGTTCCTGTTCTCTCACCACATGAACACAATTAAGGTAAAGCAAATTCAGGGCCAAATTGGATAGTCTTTTCCAGAGCAATATTCTATCAGCTGTGGATGACTTATGGCCCCCTGTGAACCAGTAACAGCTATTTGAAAGGTCACAATTTTAGAGGTCACAGCCTAGTTCTCATCCTCAAGATTTGCTCAGCTTCCTGTATCCAACCCTTTGGAACAACTGACCTTCTGAAGGGAGTATCTTGTGTTCTTAGAATTGCATCTTAATGCAGAAAAATAAAAAAACTCTACCATGTACAAAATGCAAAGACCAAAGCCAGATGTCAAACTCGGAAGTCACAACAGCAGTTTTGGTGCCAGCTCAGAATCCAAAACGATTCCAAATACCATTAATGTGAAGCTGCTGTTAGTCATCACAGTCTGAATCCCAGTATGAAAAAAAAAAAATGGAGAAAGCTTCTGTCTGGGCCTTACACCAGTTCTCACTCTTTTTTGCTATACCTCTAGACTGAAGCCTCTGTTAAAGATCAATGTAATCTTCATAAGATATATGGCTTTTATACACCAGGTCCCTCACCAACACTAAAACAATTCCTCTTTTAATTAATAACTTAAGAAAATTCCACTGTACCAAGATGTTGCCCTGACCAGAGGGTGCACAGAGGTCTTTAAGACACCAGACTTAGAGTTTCAGCCTTGCTCAGCCCTGGTAGTGTCACATTGCCCGCAGTGATCCTGCGGCCCGCACACAGGTGCAACCGTTCCAACCATTTCTGGAAACTTCTGAGGAGACCAAGTATCACAACCACACATACCGTCTCTTTACCCTGTAAGGAATCTGCAGTCTCTTACTACTCCCTTTCATCTAAACAAACTAGCTCTTACGTAATTAACCCATTACTTTCTCGAACTTCATTTACAGGGGAAGTTATCATCTCCACTTTCTTAGGTGGGCAACAATGTAGCTGAACATAAATATTGATTATCATTTATTTTACACCAGGCAACACATGTGCTTTTGGCTGCGGAGGAAAAAAGGTACAAGGGTGACAGGCTGCACAGTGACATTTCTAGAAATAGCACTAGATTAAATATTTGAGCCACGTCACGGGTTGTATTAAGTATCATACCATGTGATCTGGAGCAACATTTCAGAGGAATGGCAGAGTCACGGCTAAAGTTCATGCAGCCGCATAAACACATATAGCATATCTGCACATTGCAAACTGTTAAGCCATCTTGCTAATTAATGGTAACACTGTAGTGAGCAGAACTTTCCATGTAGTGCAGAAATAGATTACCAAGGATGCTGCTCTTGTATATTTCAGAAATAATTCCTCTAAGTTATCCCTAGCATGATCTAACGCTAAATCCAAATTTTCCACTGAAGCCGCTAGCATGTCCTTCTACAGCAGTCATGGGCCCTTTAGAAACATCTGCAATAAATGTCATACATTACTAACTGCCGGATACCATTTTTAGAGGCTCAGAAAGTAGTTGACCAAGAAACTCTCTAAAAATTGAGGGCAAACAAACAAAAATGTCACTAGTAAGCACAGGACAAAGAGACTCTGTAACTGTGGCCTAAATAGTTTTCAAGTAAACTTTATTCTCTAAACTAATAACAGAGCTATACACTAATTCCAAAATTTCACTCTACCATTACTAATGCTATCCAAAGTAGTAAATGTTGTAAAGAACTGCATCCCTTCCTCAGTTTCCCTGTCTTATTTTTCAGTGTTGCGACCTTATTTTAAATCTTTTTCTGTCAGCTTACACAGTTATATTAATGGCAAACTTCTGTAGAAATGAAGTTAGATGTGACACTTTCCTCCAGAGACTCAGCACTTCCCTACTATGTTCATCCATCACTAGCCCAGAGCCTTAGATCATGGATTTTTTTTTATTATTATTATTTTTGGCAACAGACTGAATGAACTCAGTCTTTCAAAACACAGTCAGATTATGAAGGATCATAAGCTATGACAAAAATAGTCAAAGGACATTATTCTGCTTTGTATGCAAACCATTTTGCCTGAACATCAGTAACATAAATTAGCGTAGTGGCTAAAACTTCCAGTCATTAACTCAACCAAAGTACTCACTTCAATCAATCATAGGAAAACACTTACTCATAGGGTATGCTTCTGAAAACTGTGTGATCTAAAAGAGTTATTTGCTCTGCAAGCTCCATGGCTGACAAAGTCTCAAAGCATTCTGGTTTTGGACATTCTGACTGCAAAAAATAGGAAGACTTAATGATGTCTCTTAATATCAAAGAACATTTCAAAGTACAAGGTATTAAGAACTTCATATGCACTTTCAACACAGAATTGTAATTAACTTGTTTGTTGCAAAGGAATAAGAATTAAGGAAAAAGACTGGAATTTGGCAGAAAAACATGCACATAATTTATAATAAATTATGAGTTCATATGTAAATAAAATTTTTGTATTCTACATTACATTCTATATAAACATCCTTTATCTAGTTCATTGTCCACCCTTCTTTGGATTACTCTCATTCACTTAAGGTGATGGACCTTGTCAATGCAGAGCAACTATTGCTCTGATGGCTGATGCTCTGATGCTCTGTGCAGGGGTGGCAGACACTATCTGACATAAAGATTCATGTATTTCTTACCCATTTTTTTCATTATTATTTAAAATCAAATTCTAAAATTTTGACTCATTCTTCTTTGATATGGACTCCAAATTCTTACTTTCTCTAAACTGAATGTGCATTCCTATTATAAAACAACAGTATTTCTGTATTTTCACAGTCACAAAGCTGCAGTTGTGGTGCAATATAGCAACATAAACATACCACAAATCTATAGAAATATTTATGTATGAATTTAAAGATGAACGTACCATCTGAATGATATCCTCTATTTTTAAGTGGGTATCATCTTCATCATCCTGAGAAAGGGCCCTGGGAAAAGAAGTGACATAACATCCTATATGAATAATAATATCAATGGTTATGAGAAAATAATCTCACAGTTTGGCAATCATGCTCATCTAAATTAAATTCTAAGATTTAATTTAAGTTGAAGAAGTAAGTAGAAAAAAAAGAACTTTCTTGCATCTAAAAACTAATTTTGATTTTTAAATAAAAAGTATAAAATGGTAGTCAGTCATGTAAGCTAAAATACTGGTCTTGGAGGCTTAAAACCATTGCCCTAAGAACAGCATATACTGCAGAATGGTCAATGACAATACAATGTCAGCTATTGTACTAATTTGGTGATTACAGTCTTCTGATTACATGTTTCTGCATCTATCCATCTTTGATTTCAGTGATGAGCAATGTGATGGACAAATATAAACTCTCTTTTTAAGAACCAGATTGACACTACAAAAGTAGAAAGAACATGATAGTTAAAAATATTTGCTGTCTTAATGCAAAATAATCCTAGAAAATCTAAAGGGAAAAAAATGTCCCAAAAGCTTATCTCTAAGTTTTAAGCTCTGTATTACATATCTTTGGGAAATATTTGGGGAAAAAAAAAAAAAAAGACAAGACAGCATAATAAGCATGGATAATAAAATGGTTCTCTGGAAGCATTCTTTTTTTACGAGTACTACATTATCTTGTTCTCTGTCCCACACAAACAACACTGAGTGTGGAAACAGAAAACCAGTTGCTAGCAGATTTCACTTGTAGCCAGCATATGCTTTGCTTTTAGTAATACATCCGTTAATCCATACGTTCAATTCTTCTGTAGTAAACCTGTGATTATTAGGGTTATTTCAGAGTGCTGGGTCAAAAAGAAAATCCAGCAGAAGTAATCAGTATTCCACTGAATCCCGTCTAGTCAGATGCAGAAACTTGGTGCACAATTCCAAGATCATACCTCATTTTCTGCCTGCCATTTAACCTGCATGTGAAAGCTCTGAACATTGAGCGTTTAGCTTAGTGAGCCCTCAGTCCTAGGAGAGTCCTGTCCTAAAGGATTTCTGGGAATTCACATTATAATGTAATGCTGTAGGAAAAAAAAAAGGCTGGTGATGTCTCAGGTTGCAGTGTAAGTATAGTCTGTGTAAAAGCAGAGGTAATCTATACCTCTGGTTCCATTGACATTCCTAAAATTTCAGCTGGAGTGCTATGTCTGGTTGGAGCACCACAATATGACAAATACAAACTGGTCTGATTCCAAGTAAACAAGCAGCATAAAGGATTTGAAAAATACAGACTAGAAGAAAAGCTTGAATAGTTTGGATTTATGTAACAAAGAAAAGAGAAGATTTAGGGAGACATAACAGTAACGTAAAAGACTGGGTATAAAGAGAACACCAGTGACGGGGCAAGGAGTCACTGGACTGATTTGCATCAAGACAGATATAGTTTAAACATTAATTTCAACCATCGAAAGGCAAAAGAATGGGTATGCACTGAAATAGATTTTCTGCAGAAGTTGCGGAATACCCATCAGTGGAATTTTCAAGGAAAAGTTCAGATGATTGTTCTCAGAGGACACAGCTCTATTGATCCTGCCAAAAAGCAGAGCAACTGCACTAAGTATTTTCTTGTGGTTGCTTCAATTCTTTATTTTTGCATTCTGTAGAAACAGACTTTTAATGTACCAGTTGGGGAAAGGGTTAAAAAAAAAAAAAAAAAAAAAAAAAAAAGGATTACATTGCCTGGGCACTTAAGCTCTTTAAGCTCTGAGCATAAGGGATGGAGTCTGTATGGGATGGAGCCCGCTATGTGGGTGGGAAGGAAGTGTTAATACTTAGCATACTAGGTTCTTCTGTTGAGGGCTGTTGTTTCCTTTTGGTTTGCCAAATTGGAGATGGTCTAGGTTTAAACCAAATGCAGATATACAAAGAATCTAAGACTCCTCTTTTTGCCTTCATTTTCAGCCTATCAAATCCACACAAAAGGGCCTTTTCTTCACAGGAGTTGGAAATACTTTATGTCCGATAGGCACACTGGGCAAAGTCTTCCATGTTTTTTTTTCTTCAGGAGAACCCTCAGTGTCTTCTCCAGAGAAGTGTGCTGCCTCAGTAACTGTAAATAGATTGGCAATCTGCCTTTCCTTAGCAGCTTACTTTGTGCTGGGTCTCATGACTGCCTGCCTGCAGAAAGATAATGCTCATCACACGATAAGAGCATGTGTTTTCCTGGCAATAAAAAAGAGAGAGTTTGCACTTCTCCCCCAAGTACCTCCAGTAATCTTGTAAACTTGTTTTTGAGTTCCCTATATGTACATAGGCTGGGGCTTTTATCTTAGATACAGAAAAGACTGTACCCGCTTAATACAGAATAAAATAGGAAAGACAAGATACTTAAAAGGCTCTAAGTACTTGACCTTTGCTTCCGTTGCTTCCTGATGCTTTCCATTTCCTAATACTTCCTTTTGCTCCCTGATACTATCATAATGACGTGTCTTATATTTCCTTAATTCATTTAGTATTCCTCACCTAAACAGGAATCTTGTGCTTTTCCTCTAACATAATATTCTTATGAAAAAGTTTCTCCTTTTATCCATATATACTCTAAGTTTATATCTTCAGAGAGCAATACACTTCTCTGAACTAGATAAAATTACTTTCTGACAGCATCAGTAGTAGCTTCCTCTTCAGTCTGCACTGTTGTTGGCCTTAGGGTACTCTGTTTCGATAGAAGACAAGGAAGATGCAGCCAGCTCCTCACTTCTGCTTGAGCAGTTCTCACTAGACTCCCTTAATGGCCTCCTGCAAGCTAGGAAAGAAGCTCAGATCTAAGTGAAAAGAGGTATGGGAGAAGAAAAAGGGTAAGGAAACAATTCACCTCACAGTGAGGACTGAATGGAGTACCACCTCTGGGATCAGCCTTACACATGAAGTGACTATATTTGAAATAACTTTCAAATTCTTAAGTTATCAGCTATTCTTAGAGCTGTTTCTTTCATTTGTTTCTTTCATTTAAACTATTCCTCATGCTTGAGCACTCCAAATATTAAAACTAATTTCTAGCAGGAAAAAAAAAAAGGAATCCAAACTAGCTGTCTTCTTATTCTCTTATTGTATATAAAATATTTTAAAAGCTGGTATCAGTTCTATAGTCTGAAATGTATTGAGCTCATACAAGATAGAAAATTGGCCATGCATCAAGTGCCTCTGCAAATCCTTGGATTTCATTTACATCTATTCTGAAGAAGAAGGAATAGTAAACCTTTCTTGAACCATTTATTTTTTTTTCCCAGGTGGGACTATTCATGAGCCAAAGTTATTCACTTCAGTTTGAACTATAAAACTTCACGGTTCAATGTTTGGGGCCTGTTTCTGCCTCAGTGTTGGGAATTTTATCTAGATTCCAGATTTTACTAAATAGGGCTGAAGAAATCTCAAACAAAACATACTTTAGTAGGCTTGTCTAGCTTTCAGGAAAAATACTGAATAAAAAGAAGCTTTTCTGCCTTGATACCCTGTCAACCCATTGAACAAAAATCTCATCATGTGGGAAATGCCAGCTGCTCTGTGTGATGACAAAGGAGCCAGGAAACAGTGCAGCATCTCTCATAAACACTGCCTTTGCCATTCAGTTTCTATACTGTGTCTTTCCCAGAGCTGACCATAATATTTTTAGAATACAAACCTGCCTTTCCTCCTCCTCTAATCTCTGCTAACCAAAATGATTTGAAAGGGACTGATTTCCCACGAAATTTATAGGCATGTATACATGCATACACACAAAGGCTGTGGCAGTCTCTAAAGAGAGACATTAGTATTCAACAAGCTTCAAGGAGATAGTCCATGGAATATGCTTGTACAAAGGCTCAAAATTCAAAACTTTCCAGAAAGTTCCAGAAATTTTCATGACTGTGTGAAGATGGAGTGTGCAAGAAATACTTAATACCTATCTTCACTCCAGAAGCTGAGATTGTGCCTGAGATTACACCTCCAGAATCAGCCAGTGTGTGTGTTCACAACCTTACATGGGACAACAGGTCATTGCTTAGGACTAGTGAAGAGATATGTCTTTTTTTTTTTAAGCTTGTAAATACTACAATTTTAATAATATGTAATAAAAATGAAGGCTTGTGGAAGAGTAAAGGAATGCTCACTCCTATTCTACAAGTATTGCACCACAATCAGAAACACACAAGTTCATTCAATTAGAGATTACCTCTGAAATTCTACTATTTTCTCTTCCAAGTTAACTATATAGCCTTGTTGCAAATATATCTTTGGGAGTATGACAGGACTTTCTGAAAGCTTGAAAACTGCTCTTAATTGGTAGATGACCCATTTTCCTGAGGTGATTTAACAGAGCTCCTCCTTTCAGTGAAGGGGTGAGATACACAACCTATCTTTGTATTTCACCCTGGCTGAATGATTTTTGGCCACAATCAAAATTGATCCAATATTCTTCTTCTCACAGTTCAGACCCCTGGAGAATTATTTTTTTCCTAACCAGCTGATGCTTAACAAATTTGACATATCTAGCAAATAGCCACCTCCTGTGTCGCTGGAGAGAGAGCTCAAGAGCTTCAAATTACAGCTTGCTCAGCCTAAGACCTTGAAGCAGTTGTATGTGATAACATCTTTAACTTACATATCCTGATTGTTCCATTAACTACAGCTTAGCAACAATTTAAATTATGAAAGTAATACTTATGCAACACCTTCTGTCTGAAAGTTTATGAACAGTCTAAATAAATAATAATAAGCAGCCTAAATCATAGAATCATAGAATGCTTAAGGTTGGAAGGGACCTCTAGAGGTCATCTAGTCCAACCCTCCAATAGATAGAAAATAATAAATAATAATAAATATTAATTAACAATAATAAATTATTAATAATAAATAATAAAATTATAATAAATAATTATTAATAAATTCTTATTTGATTAAATAATTAAATAATAAGCCCTCCAATAAATAGATAAATAATAAGATACAGGATATAAACAGGAGTACTTTCAGCTACTACTAGCTTCAAACTT